AAAAAAAAAAAAAGGGTAAAAATACTATCATTGTCATTTGACTCTTTCCAGTATCCCAAGAAGTTGATATTATTTCGTCTCATGTTACAGCTAGGAAGGTAAAGGGCTAATTAGTTAAGTAAAAGTGATATAGCTGCTAAGTAGAAGAGCCAGAATTCAAGTGAAAGCAGGCTTATTCTAACACCTATGCTGTATTGTATGAATATCTTTTAGTTTGAGAAATGGCTAAACTGAAAAGGATTGTTTTACTGATTTTTCACTTAGCTTTTGTGTTTTTAATTTTCACAGCTTGTCTGAGACTTTATAAGTTTAGGTGTATGTGTGTATTTATTTTTTTCCCTTGAGACAGGGTCTTGAAAGGTGTGGTGGTGCATGCCATTAATCTCAACACTTGAGAGGAAGAAGCAGGTAGTTTTCTGAGTTCAAGGCCAGCCTGATCTTTCCAGCAAGTTCCTGGCCAGCCAGGGTTATATATACAATAAGACCCTGTCTCAAAAAGAACTTAAGACATGGTCTTGCCATGTAACTCTGGCTGGCCTGAAACTTGCTATGTAGACCAGGCTGGGATTAGAGGTATGCATGACCATAGCCAGCAAGTCTAAGTACATTTTTTGAAAGAAGTACCAAGGACTTGGGTTTTCATAAACTCTTTATTTTACTTAGTTGTTGCTAACTTGTTTACTATATCCAATAATCATGCTTGTTACACTTTCATGTTTTACTACAGAAGAGGTTAGATAAACAGTACAAAATCTCTAAATGTCGGATGATGACCCTAGGAGCCTTAACTGGCACTCATCAATTGTAAGATTAAGCTTAGACTCCTTCCCTTCAAAAACAGGACTGGTCCTGATTCATGTGCCTCCATTTCCCCACTTTTTTGTGCGTCTGTACTTTTGTTCTTTTCCTCGCCTCTTGTCAGTTTGATGAGCTATTTCTTATGTTTCCTAAGTAAATTTATAATGTCTCTACATAAGCCATCTTTAACCTTTTCCTAGAAGGTCAGGTGGTTCCTTTTCTTCTTTTAGGGAAGATGGGGATTGGAGTGTGGGAAGGAGGCAGGAACTTGTTTTATAGTCCTGATGGGCCTAAAACACGCTATATGTGCGCAAAGCTGGCCTTGAACTTGCTTTTGATTCTTCTGCCTCTGCCTTCCAAATGTCAAGATTACAGATATGTGCCAGGTTGATATTTTATATACTTTTTTTTTCTGTACACAATCAAGAGCAAAGAGAGAGAATGAATACATCTTTGCTTGCTTACTCTCTCCTATCTAGCCAGCTTTTTCTTGTCTCACATTGTTAGGACTCTCTGCCTAGGGAATGGTGCTGCCTACAATGGACTAGATCTTTCTACATCAATTAATAATCAAAATAATCCCCGCAGTCGTGTCTACAGATTAAACTGTTTTACATAATTCCCCATTGAAGACTTTCTTGCCAGAGCTGGACATGATGGTGCATGCCTTTTTAATACCTGCACTCAGGAGACAGAGGCCAGTGAGTCTCACCTGAGTTTTGGGTCAGCCTTGTCTACATAGTAAGTTCCATGCTAGCCAGGAATACATAGCGAGACCCTACCTCCTTTCTTCTCAGGTGATCTTAAATTGTATCAGATTGACAGTTAAAACTAACCAACGTAATCCACCCCATGTCAATTTAACATATAGACTTTAAGCCATAACTTTTATATCTTGTCCCTAACGTCTTATATTAGTATTATAAAAGACAATTCAACTCCAAAAAGCCCTCAAAATCTTTAAAAATATCGACACTTTAAAAATCCAAAGTCTTTTGACTCTGTGCTTCTGTAATAAACAGATACTTAGCCAGCACAGCAGATATTAAAATCTTTTCTTAGTGTTGATGGCTGGTACATGATAGGTCTTGGTATGTGTGTGCATTTGGAATAGCTAATGATAAACTAGTTTTTTTCAGATGTAGCTTAGGGAAAACTGGTCTAATTCCCAAACACCAGTTGAATTATTTTATTTTATTTTATTTTATTTTATTTTATTTTATTTTATTTTATTTTGAGCAAGTTCTCACTGTGTAGCCCTGGATGGTTTAGTACTCACTATGTAAGCTAATTTGGACTTGAACTCACAGCAGTCTGCCTGCCTCAACCTCTTGGGTACTGAGATTATAGTCATGAGCCACCATGGCTGGTGTAATGTGGTGTAATGTTTTTTCAAAGTACTTTTCATTTTTTCCTGAATTATACCTTTGGTGGTCTGTGTCTTCACTATATTTCTTCCTTCCTTCCTTCCTTCCTTCCTTCCTTCCTTCCTTCCTTCCTTCCTTCCTTCCTTCCTTCATTTCTTCCCTTTCTTTCTTTTTTTTGAGACTGGGTTTCCCTAGTTGTCCTGGACTTGTTTTTGTAGACCAGGCTGGCCTCAAACTCATAGAGATCCACTTGCCTCTGCCTCCCAAGAGGCATGTGTGCCACCATGCCCAGCCACTATATTTCTTTAGGTTAAATTGTATTCTGTTTGTTTTTGTTTCCCTTACCATTGTAGAGATAGTGGCTATATAGTAACTGGTCAGTTGAATAGAACACAGTAACATATTTGCTCTTTCATAGTAGATCACACAGATTGAGATGAAAGATGTGGTCTAGTATCTTTCTCTAGTTGACTCCCTCCCTCTCTTTTTTCTTATGATTTAGACAAGGAACTATCTGATGAAGAAGGATCTGGAGATGGAGATTCAGAGGGCCTGGGCCTGGAGGAATCAGAGGAAGAGGAATCAAGTGCTGCTGAGGAAGAGGATGCTGAGGATGATGTTCCCCCTGAGATGAGCAATCTGAACCAGAAAAGTGGCAGAAGGTGTTCTCAAGAAATGCCAAGGTTCAGTTTCCAGAACATTAGTGATTTTGAGAAATTTACGGAAGGAATGGATGACCTTGGGAGCAGTGAGGAGGAGGAAGATGAAGGGGAAGAGAGTGGCATGGAAGAAGGAGATGTTGAGGAAGACTTAGAAGTTAAGAGTGAGGAAGACAGGGAAGAAGACAAAAACAGTGAAGATGATGGTGTGGTGATGACCTTCTCCAATGTCAAAGTTTCTGAGGAAGTGGAGAAAGGAAGAGCTGTGAAGAATCAGATAGGTGCGTGTGTGCTTTTGCTGCTTGCTTTTTTTTTTTTTTTCAGTTTCAACATTTGTCTGCATTTTGGTTTTGGTTGTTCTGTTTCTCCCGTGTACTTCTAGTTAGTCTCTGGCATGCTGCACCAGAGGCCTGCACCCCGGTTCCTATTTAGCTGCTTAGCAGGCTCTGCACTAGTCCTTGTAGGAGGTTGAAGAGGAGAGTGTTCTCTCCTTTTGTCAAGCGTTAATGTTTCCTCTCTCAGAGCAAGTATTTCCACCCAAGAGATAATTTATGCTCTAGAATGAAGAATGTTTTTGGCATAAAGGTCATAAAGCATGCTGTTTGAGATTGGTGTTGCATCTTGCCCTTCTTCAGTACCCAACCCAGAAAGATTTTATGACTCAGGGATGTCCTCTTTTACTCTCTTCTTCAGCATTGTGGGACCAGCTCTTGGAAGGAAGGATCAAACTACAAAAAGCTCTGTTGACAACCAATCAGTTGCCTCAACCAGATGTTTTCCCTGTCTTCAAGGACAAAGGTGGCCCAGAATTTGCCAGTGCACTAAAAAATAGTAAGAATACTCATATCATTTTTGGGGTGTACTGGGTTGGATGTGAAAAAAAAATGACTTTACTATAGAATATCTGTTTCAGTTTTTTGTTTATATTTGATCTTATAAAAAAACTTAAGTAATCAACTATTCTTCTAAAAATAGCAGTATAACCCATTATCAAAGGAGACAACTTTAAAGTTAGTCAGGTGCTTGAGCCATGTCATGATAGCATTCACCATCCTTCCCTTAGTATTTTGAGTTCAGTCTTTTTTTGGGGGTGGGATGGGGGGATAACAAGGTTTCTATGAGTATCCCTGGCTGTCCTAGAATTCAATCTGTAGACCAGGCTGGCCTCAAACTCAGAGATCTGCCTGCCTTTGTCTCCCAGGTGTTGGAATGAAAGGGGTGCACCACCACTCCTGAGTTACTTCTTAAATTCTTAGGGAAAAAAGTTTTGAAAACCCACAGATAAGAGAACAAAAGGGAGAGAGACTAAGCAAATAAACTCAGTCCTTATGCTGGTTGTGCCATGTGCTTAAAGCATGTGGCTCTCTGTTAGGGAGGGCTTTAGAATAAGTTAAATGGTGTTATTCCTGTCTTTTCCTTTGGGTAACAAAGAGTGAGGAGAGAGAATGACTGAAGTGAAAGAATACATTTTGGAAGCAGATTACTGAGCTATAAACTAATTCTAGAGTGAAAAAGAATTTCGAGGTTACCTAGTTCCTAATTCCTTTACGTTACAGATGAGGAACCCAGAGAGTGGCTCACCCAAAGAGTTTGTTGTAAAGCAGGTGTAAAAACTCCAGCTTTTCTTCTTAGACTAGGTGTCTTCCTCACCACATTGCCTCCTGTATGTCCAGTGGCTCCAGAGTTCTTCCATACTCAAAGTTTGTTTTCTGTGAAATCTAGGCAGCCCTTTCTGGAACGAACTGTGTGTTGTGAGGTCTTTAAAAGAAAAGATCCCACCTGGCCCCCCCTCTCCTCCCTAAATACATGATAGACTTCTTCTTTTTTAGAATTTTTAGAGTTTTGGGGCACAGGGAATTGTGTGCCATTGGTGGCATGGATATTTCTAACTTGTATGCTGAGTAAGATGTTTCCATTTGCTTTTTCAAACTTAAAGCTGGATGTATTGCCTACAGTCCTCATTACTTAGGAGGCAGTGGCAAGAGTATCCTTTGAGCTTCGGGATTTAAGGGCATGCTGAGCAACATTGCCAGATTACCTTTGCCCAAGCAAAAACCCAGAACCCCCCAAAATCCCTGAAAACCAAAATATAACCTTTTATAGTAAGGAGTTAGATTTGGAAGAGAACTGAGGACATCTGGTTTAGTATTGTGTCTAAATAGAATCACTTGAAAATAATTCAGGATTCATAGGTGCAACTTTGAGGACAGCGACTTCTTTTTTTGAGACAGAGTCATACTTTGTAGACCTGGCTGGCCTCACAGACGTCTACCTTGTACTTTCCAGTGCCAGGATTAAAAGGCCACCACATCGAGCATAAGCATTTCTTTTGTAGGAGGATATGTGTCCTAAAGACAGTTTTAGTTTTGAGGCCTTCCATACTCAAAGTTTGTTTTCTGTGAAATCTAGGCAGCCCTTTCCGGAACAAACTGTGTGTTGTGAGGTCTTTAAAAGAAAAGATCCCACCTGGCCCCCTCTCCTCCCTAAATACATGATAGACTTCTTCTTTTTTAGAATTTTAGAGTACTTCTTTGCTATATATAGTGCCCTAGTATCCTCATTTCTCAGATGCCTTGGGTAAGACCTAAACTACTCTAGATTAAATGTCTTAAACATTTTATAGTAAGATTTTTTTCATTTGTTACTTAATAGTTTTCTTACATGAATGTTTATAAACATTCATTTTAAAGTACAGATATTTTCTGGGTCAACATCACATACTTAATTTCTTCAGTCACTTGAATTTTACTTTAATTCAGCTTTATATAGTTCTGATCTTTCTAATCCTTTACACTTAGCCAGTTGCCTCCTCCTGGTGAACTTCGGTCATTTAAAAGTCTAACTCTGACAGTGTGTAGAAGAGGGAGAGGGAAGGAGTGTTTGTTTGGTATTACATTCTGAGAGGATAAGAATCTCATAACCAGAATTTCTGTGCAACTAAAGGCAGGAGGTTTTTGTTTGCTTTCATCTTCTTATGACAGTATGACTTAATAAGTTATATGCACCCCTGTCTGCATGGTTTTCAAAACAGTTTCTTGGGTATATTATTCTGAGTAACCAGTTTGTATCGTTCAATCATAGTTGGTATGAAGCAGGCTGAATTTATACCAGTTGAGAGTCTAAGTCACTTTGCTTTTGCTTTAGTAGTTTTTTTTGTTTTTGTTTTTGTTTTTTCTCCTGAGTCTCACTGAATAACCCTGGCTGGCCTGGGTACTATGTAGATCAGGCTGGTTTCAAACTTAGATCCACCTGCCCTTGCCACCTGAAATGGGATTAAAGGAATGTCTGGTCTGCTTAGTCTTACAGGACAGTTAAAGTTAGACTGCCTGGGTTTGTTTAATTTTAGAGAGGTCTCCTGTACCCCAGCCTGGCTTTGGACTAGCTGTGTAGTAGAAGATAACTTTGAACTCCTAATTCTCCTGCTTCCACCTCTCAAATGCAGGATTATTTAATCTTTTTATGTTATTTTTTTTGAGTCTGTGTTCTCATATACCCAGGCTGTCCTCTAAGTTGTTGTGTAGTTAAGGATATCCTTGAACTTCTGATCTTCCTGCCTCCATCTCTCTAGTGCTGGGGTTATAGGCATGTGTGCTACCATGTCTACAGTGCAAGTACCTAACATTCTGCCTGGTTAGAAACCATCTCAGGTGATTGACACTCTCTGGTCTTGGGCAGGTTACTTCACAATAAGATATGGCCAATAAGATTGTGAGGATTAAAGGACATAATCAGTGTAAAGCATCATAGCTGTACCGTGTTTGGCACACATTCCATCATAATAATTAGGTCCCAGAGTTATCTTTTTCTGTTGAGAGACATGTGACAATGTTACTCTGTGAATGGGTCTCATTGGTATAACTAACCATCATCCCCACTGTTTTCAGTGTTTTTATAATTTTCTTGCTAGTATTCAGAATCCCCGTGTAGTTTAAGGCAATTATTGTCTATGGTATAGTCTACTGTAGTACTAGTAAACCTTGGCCTCTTCTGCTACTGTGGAAAGGTAGGTTGATAGTGATTTCCTTACTGCCTTGCAGAAACATTCAATGAAGTATTTTCTTTTTTAAAATTTGTTATTATTTGTGTGTGTGTGTGTGAGAGAGAGAGAGAGAATGAAAACATGCACTATGGAGCAAACAAGCACAATATTCCACAGCCTATATGTGAAGGTCAGAGAACTTTGTGGAATTTCTTGTCTCCTACCTTTATGTGGGTTCTGGGAATAGATTTCAGCTCATCAGACTTACAGTACAAGTACTTTTGCCTACTGAGCCATCTCACTCCAGGCTTGAAGTAATTTTCTGGGGCTTTGGTGACTCCAAATACAGTCTTTGGGTTCTACTTTTCTGATCTCTTTACAAGCTTTTTAAGTATATATGAGATTTTTAATTTTTAACATTACAGGTGTATGTGTGCATTTGAACACATGAATGCAGCTACCTCTGGAGGCCAAAATGGGGCATCAGATCCCTGGCTGGAGTTACAGGCAATTGTGAGCCACCTGACTTGGGTGCTGGGAACCAAACTCCAGTCCTGTAGGAGTAGTAAATGCTCTTTACCTCTGAGACATCTCTTCATCCCTCACACTCTTCTCTCTACCAGTGTAAACTGTAATGAATACAGGATTCTGTCTTAGGTTGTATGTACTCAGTTTATGTTTTCCTTGCTTAATCATTTACTCTCAGGGTTTTCCTGATAGCTTTTAAAAAAGACTTGTAGCAATAGTTTAGGACTATAGACCCCTGAGAACCAAGTCTGCACCTTCAGCCCTTCAACATCTACTTTTCAGAAACGTAACAAATACTTCCTTGCCTTTACTAGTACTTACACTTAGTCTCCAGGCCTCTTGAACTGTGTAGTGACTTCCCAGCGACTGTAAGATTAAGCTGTAGAGTGACCTTAACAAAACTAAGGGGTGTTCTTTACACAAAGCTACTTCCTACACCGTCAGAAATTGGACCTTTTATGTTGGTGACAGTGCCATGTAAGGAAGAAGGCAGATAAATTATACACACTACATTATGTGTTATGTACATTAAAGTAGGAAGGAGAGTGCAGTGAGCCCACATTTAATGTAACTCGCTTAAGTTAACTCAAGCCAGTCTTCTGCATCTAATGTTATTCTGCCAACTTCTTCTGAGCGATTGTAAAGTAAATAGTGTATGTTCTCATTTTTTGAGGAAATTTTTCAGCATGGCTAAAAGATACAAATTCAGAAAGTTTTTTAAAAGATTTATTCATTTTCTGTTTTCTGTTATTATTCATTTTTTGTGCCTGCATGTATTTATGTGCACCACATGCATGCTTGGTGTCTTTGGAGGCAAGAAGAGGGCACTGGCTCTCGCGGTACTGGATTTATGTACAGTTGTGAGCCACCATGGGATTCTGGAAGTCAAACCTAGGTCCTCTGCAAGAGCAGCATGTGCTCTTAACTACTGAACTACTTCTTTAGCCCAAAAATCATATTACTAGCTGAATGTGTACCCTCCCTTTAATTCTAGTGGATCTTTGAGTTCCAGGTCAGCCTGGTCTATATAACAAGTTCCAGGATTATCAGGCCTACTTAGTGAGACCCTGTCTCAAAAAACAAAAACAAAAAAGTTCTTGTAGTCATTATTCCACATAAAAATATTGGCAAGTTTGTTAACAGCGCTAGGAAATGAACCCAGTACCTTGTGCATGCTAACAACTTCTCAGTCACTGAACTATACCTTCATTGAGCAGTTAATTTTTAACAAGAATGGCTGACTTGGACAGATGGAGAATTGAGAGCATTTCTGTAGCAGGGACTGTGATGTCTTCCCAGAGTTTGCTATACAGTTTTAAATGAAGTGATTATAGAAAGCTAAATTTTAACCATACAAAGTTGACCTTTTAGTCAAATGCATGTTATTAATGTGTTTAATGAGATGCATTACAAACTGCAGTGTGTACCATGTTTTATTATAGGTCTAAAATGCAGTATCATTAAAGACCTTTAATAGAACAATGGTTGACATTTTGATATTTCCCATAAGCAAAACACCCAGGAACACAGTATAATGTAAAGGAAATGTGGAGGAAGTTAGGATTTTTTACTTGTCTAAGAGTTTAAAAACAAATTCTATTAGTAAAGTGTGTTTTCTTTGTTCCCTTAATTTTTCTACTTCTAATTTATGTTCACTTCCCTCATTGTTTTGTGACCCTTTTCCCAAGACCCTTAATAATTTTGAG